TAAAGTATATATATATATATATATATATAATATAATATAATATAATATAATATAATAGATATAAATGTTAGACCAGATAGATAAGTATGTATAAACTTAACGAGTTTATTTAAAGAAGTGTAGAATTTTCCGTTAATACAATTTTATGTGATTGTCACTTAGAAAGCCAATTTGTAAAAGAGTTGAAGAAGCTTACATTTCATTTTTGGAGGGAGTTATACCTCATAATAATAAAATAAAAACAGAATTAGATTAATTTTGAAAGGAAAGTATACCTCCTAGTTATAAAAAAAAAAATATACCCCAATAAATAATTACATATAGACCTAATGGATATAAATAATAAATAATGAATATAAAAAAACTTGGATTATTTTTTAAGTGAGTTATATCTTCTAGTTATAAAAAAAATGAATTAATTTTGAGAGAGAAATATACCTCCACATTATAGAAATAAAAAGTTGAATTTGAGAGGGAATTGTGGTTCTATAATATATAACTATATAGAAAGATATCCTAGATTTTTTCACCTTTTGGAAGATTATACCCTTTACCAATTATAAGAAATCAGAATGTAACCACTCACAACCACAAAGATATAATCACAAATTTATTTTTCAGTTGAGGACATAGAGTGATTCTTTCTTTATTAGTAATAAGTAATAATTATATATGTGTATAATAACAATAATAATAATTATTATTATTATGGACATAAAATACGATTGGATTGATTTTGAGAGGAAATTATATCTCTTAGTTATTCTAAAAAAAGTTAAATTACATCTGATGGACAAGTACATGTAAGTCTAATGGATATAAATAATAGATAATAGTTATAAATAATAAATAATGAATATAAAAAAATTGAATTGATTTTAGAGAAAGTTATACCTCTTGATTATGAGAATAAAAAATTGAACTAATTTTGGGAGGGAATTATACCTCCTAGTAAAAAAAAATTGAATTACATCCGATAAACAAGTAAATGTAGCCCTCATCGATATAAATAACAGATAATAGTTATAAATAATAATATCAGAAAATATTACATTGATTTTGGAGGGAAATATATCTCTTAGTTATTTAAAAGAGACTGAATTAATTTTAGAAGAAAATTATACCTTCTAATTAAAAAAATGAATTAATTTTATGAGAGATTTATACTTCATACTTATACTAAAAAAAATTTGAATTACACCCGGTAGATAATAAGTATATGTAGACCTAATGGATATAAATAATAGATAATAAGATTGAATTGTTTTTGGATGGAGTTATATCTTCTAATATTATATATATATATATATATATATATATATATATAAGATCGAATTAATTTTTGGAGGGAATTATACCTCCCAATTATAAAATAAAATTAAAATTAAATTAATTTTGGAAATAAATTATACCTCCTAGTTACAAAAGAAAATACACCCAATAAATAATAACATATAAGCCTAATGGATATAATAATAAATAATAAATTTTAAAAAGATTGGATTAATTTTAGAGAGAGTTATATCTTCTAGTTATAAAGAAAATTAAATAAATTTTGAGAGAGAATTATACCATAAAAAGTTAAATTTGAGAGAGAATTATGACTGAGTTATAAAAGAAAAAAAAATTGAATCACGACTCAAAAGATAATTACGTGTGAATCTAATCGAAATAAATAATATTAGTGGATAATGTTTAATAAATTAAAGACAATAGATATAACTAATAGTACAATTGTGACACCTAATAGATAAATACGCGTAAGCTCAATGAGCCTATTTAAAGACGTCTAGTATTTTCAGTTAATACTGTTTTACACTGAGAAAGTCAATTTGTGAAAGATTGAAAATTGAAGAAGTTAGCATTTGATACGTGTTGGCCTGCGTACGTTTTCTCAACAAAACAATGTATTTAGCAGGTATTCTAATTTTCTACTATTGATTCTGTTAATTTCTTAAGTGGTGCTTGGCTGCTACCAATCAAGAATGTTAATTTGCATACTGAATTACTAAGACTTAATTAAGTGGAAAGATTATGTTTAATTTAATTGTTAGTAGCTAAGAATGATTGGTGATATTAATATTATTTGGTTGTGATTGGGCAGGTAGTAGGAGGCATTATGATGTTAGAATTGGGATGAGAAATCCATGGAACAGTAACATAATTAGAAGAAGAAACATTCACTTTCATCCTCCATACCCTTACCCTTGCTATTGCCTTTCACCGCCACAACCACAACCCACAACCAACCCTCCTCTTCTGCTTCATCGTCGCTGGCCTTATGCAACTGGAATTCCCGTTTTGCCCCCCCCCAATGCCAATGCTCCTAAGAATATAAACAACACTGTCAATTTGCACAAACACACTCTCACCCTCCAACTCGATCCTAACAATCCACATCACCACTTGATTTCCTTTCATTTCGATGCCCTCTATGATGGCAGGTAACATATTTATTTGATGTCTTGTTCTGCCCTGTGTTATTCTATTTTAACCTTCATAATAATATCAACTTACTATAATACAAATGTTCATGTTTAAACTTAACTCAATGGCAATTTACTTTATTACTTACCTATTCTATGTATGTGAAGAACCCTGTCATTAGTAGCTAAGATTTCTTTTATTTTCCTTTCTTATGTATTGGGCAGCTTTACAATCTTCTACATGGCCAAAGAAGAAGGATGTATGTTCAGTCCACTATTTCCGGAGGTGTTTGAGCCAATTACATTTACTTTTGAAAAAGGAGTTGGACAGAAATTTTGTCAGCCTTCAGGAACAGGCATTGATCTAGGTTTCTTCGAGTTGGATGATCTTTCTAGGTCTTTTTCACCCGAAGATGATGAATTTCCCCTTGTCATATGTGCTGAAATAAGTAGTAATTATGCACTAGATGCAACCCCTCACATGCAAATAACTCAAGCTATCTTAGAGAAAAGTAATGATATTGGTCCTTTCAACGTAAAAGTAGTTAGACAGCTTCTGTGGATTAATAATGTTTGTTATGAGCTGAAAGAGTTATATGGAACGGCAACAGATTTTGATGATGATAATGATTCTGAGGAGGAGTGTGTGTGTGTTATATGCATGATGGAACCCAAGGACACTGCTATCTTGCCCTGCAGACATATGGTATCATATCTTGTCAAACCAACTTTATTATTTGTGTAATGTGTTGTTCAATCTTCATACTCAGTAATAGTTATTTTACATCATGTCATGTATAAGCATTATATTTATTTCACTGCTTTCATTTCTCATATTACATGTATTGTATTTTCCAGTGTATGTGCAGTGAGTGTGCCAAAACTCTACAGTCTCAATCAAATAAATGCCCTATATGCCGTCAACCAATTCAAGAACTTATAGAGATCAAGATAAACAATAACAATCAATGACACATTGTTGCCTTATGCAAAGTTCTATTACATGGTATGATTTTTTTTATTTTTTATTTTTAAATTGCATTCAATAATCTGTTTATAGTTCATGCATGTGTGACGTAGGATGTATAAAGAAAAAGAATGTATCCTAATTGTTAGATTCTTGCTCTTCTTTTCGATTTTTTTTTTAAAAAAAAAAAAAGAGTCAACTAGTATTATCATAAACTTTTAAGTTTGGGGAGGTTCTTAGACATAAATTTTTTAAATAGTGAAAATGTAAAAGTAAAATTGATTTAATAAGTCATTTCTTTTTGTATTTTATTTGAAATGGGTTTTTATTCTTCTTTCACTTTTCCAGTTTGCAACTGCTTAGGTGTAATAAATATTTATTTCTCAAGAATGTTAAAAAATGAATAGCTTCACACTTCATTTACATTAAATTAAATTGTATAGTTGTTAAGTAACCAACAGTTTATTTTTCAAATCTTTATGTACAGAGATAAAACATAGACATTTCATGTAAAAATACTATTGTGATTGTTGAGATGTGAAATTGATAACGAGGGAGTCAAATCCAACGAATGAAATTAACTTTTTTTTTTTTTTTTCTTTTGCAGATAGAGATTGGACTCTTAACTTCATATTCAAAATTTGCGCCAAAATAACCAAGTGATCGGATATATCCCGCGGATAGAAACTGCAAAAGCGTATAGATCGTGCGGCTCACAAGTTTTTTTGTGTTTATAATTTTTTTTTTGTATGAAATAAGCTTTTTGTACATTTTGAGATTGTCTATTTTCAGCATGACAATTCATAGACCTTGTAGATGTATATTTTAATCATTATAGTTCATTCATTATTCAATTGTTTTTTTTTTGACAAAATTCATATTATTCAAATTTTAAACATGGGAACAAGTTGACAAAAATTATCTGACAAAAAAAAATCTTTCGTTCCAAAATTACAACTCATCTACATTCAAGAAATTTATGGTTTTTGACATCAACCTAATCATACTATTTCATATCTAAAAGTTATTTAATTTGAGTATATCCATACAAATTTAAGATGATTTTTTAAAATCATGTCAAGTAAAATCTGACGGGAATTATGATCTTGACCCATGGCCTCTAACCGATGAAGTAGAAGATAAAACTGGTTTTCTTAAGGAGGACATGAACTTAAAGAAAAAGATTATCTTGCTAAGTCAAAAAATGGAAACAAATCCATTGAGCCATAAACAAACGGGTAGAAATTTCTCTATAACGATCACAACTACATGTATCCCTAGTAATTTAATTTTGTCTGAAAATTACTAAAATTTAAAGAAAAAAGTAATAAAAAGGGTAAAAAAAGAAAATATAAAAAAAAGAAAATAGAATTCCAAATGAAAATTGAAAATAACAAAAAGGGAAAAGTAAAAAAGATATAATTAGAAGAGATAAAATAAGTGAGATGCATGTATACTCTTCTAAGTAAATAATTTAGATTTTTTTTAAATGTTTTTAGGTTCAATAACATAAATTTACAATATCATATATTTTGCTATAATTATCTATTTAAGGTTATGTTTTTGCACAACTGAAAATCTTAACAATAAATTTACAATTGTTGTTTCTAACATGAAAACCAAAATTCACCTTCATCTTAATGAAAATCAATTTTAAAGGTGATTTGTTAAAAAAAATGTTAATAAGTCATAAAAACATTAAGAAAGAAAAAAAACTTTTTAGTGGACTATTATTATACGTCTAAAATGTAAAAAATAATAATAATAAAGAAATAGTTGCTTTATGAATAAATTGCCTACAACACCTATTTTTTAAAAAATTAAGAGGCATGAGTTTCTCTTTTTCTTTTTAAAGAGATATGCTACTGTGACTTCTTTTTAAAGTGTCTTATTATGAATTAAATTCACAAGAGAAACTCTTGGAGACCTGACGAACGCAATGAGCTAGGTATAGTGCTGGGAATTTATTTGTGATGAAGTTTGTACGTTGATTCTGTTTGACGTATTTACTAGCACAGCTAACGTAAGCGTAGGTACTGTACATGTACTGTTGTCTACCACTAAACTCAAATATGAAATATCAAAATATGAGAATTTTCTATTATAAACAGGTGGATGGATGTGGTTGACTAGTCGTAAATACCCGCATTGCATATGCTATAATTTAATGTTTCTTTTTTATTTTATCTGAACAGAGTATATCCCCAAAGGCAAAGCGATGACGAATCATGGTAGACTTTGATAAATAACAAAATAATTATTGTGGGTGAAAGTACGCGTTTATGGTGGGATCTGCGTTTAGTTTGCGATGCAGTGCGTATGATTGGTCGGAGACGTGACCTAGCTCATCGAACGACTTCAACAGGTGAGAAGAGAATCGGAATCGGAGTGAGACGATGAGGGCGGTGAGTGCGTTAATGGTGGCTCGGATGCTGACGCGGGACCACTCCCTCGCCAACGAAAGCATAGCCTTCGGATCTGTGTGGTGGTTCGTCTACGCCGGAATCTCCTGCTTCCTCGTCCTCTTCGCCGGAATCATGTCCGGTCTCACCCTCGGCCTCATGTCTCTCGGCCTCGTCGACCTCGAGATTCTCGAGCGCAGTGGTTCTCCTTCTGAGAAAATGCAAGCCGGTAGTTACCTACTTCCTCCCAATCTTCCTACACATCAAAATCATTTATATTATATTATAGATTAATCTTTTGCAGCGGTCATACTTCCCGTGGTTAAAAAGCAGCACCAGCTTCTGGTTACTCTGCTTCTCTGTAATGCTGTCGCCATGGAGGTAACACTTGTTTGTACGCTTCATAAGGATTATGTGCAGTGTATGTACTTTGTTCGCTTCATACTGATTCCTAAACCCTGCCTAACTTTTTACAGCCATTGGTTTTCAAACTTGCAATCTGCAGGCTCTGCCGATATACCTAGATAAACTATTCAATCAGTTTGTTGCTATCATTCTCTCTGTAACTTTCGTCCTCTTTTTCGGGGAGGTATGCCATTTTGATGACTTTCCTGTTCTGTGGTTTCGTTTAGCCTCAATATTTGAATCCAATGTATATTGTTAAGTCCTTTATATATATACATATATAAATAAATAAATAAATCATTTCTGATTTCAGGTTATTCCTCAAGCAATTTGTAGTAGATACGGTCTTGCTGTAGGTGCCAACTTTGCATGGCTAGTGCGGATTTTAATGATTATCTGTTACCCGGTTTCTTATCCAGTTGGAAAGGTATATTCTCCAACAGAGGTTGTTCTGTTCCTTAGCATTCTTTTCATAACTGATATAATATAACTGAGAAGAGAATGAACAAATGGAAATTATAGCATACCATTTCAAGATATCTCCAGTATGTTGAGTATGGTGTGTCGGACAAATTAAGGTCTTTGTAAAGCAGATGATGGAGACAGTTATATATGTCTTTCCATGTTTAAAAGATTGCTATAGCAAGTTAGCAGCAGAAAATGAGAAATATTATTGGCATGTGTTTAGGGCTGAAACCCTGGTCAATCTCCTGGCAATTGTATTGTAGCTCTGCACAACTGAAAGCACAGAGCGCCAGTTTTTTTTTTCATTCATAGGTGATGGGTTTTATGTTACTCATAATGCTCACAATGTGTTTTTTTTTCTCACTAATTTTTGTTCCAGGTTCTGGATTACCTATTGGGGCATAATGAGGCTTTATTTAGGCGAGCTCAGTTAAAAGCTCTTGTCTCCATTCACAGCCAGGAGGTATAAATTAGTAATTATTTTTCAATTTACAGAATAAGTCATGTCAAGATTGGTTAAGCTACTACTCATCTGTCCTGTGACTCCTGTCTAGGTGTTTGATTCATATATGTTGAATTTATTTGTTTATAGGCTGGGGAAGGTGGTGAGCTTACACATGATGAAACAACAATTATCAGTGGAGCTCTTGATTTGACTGAAAAGGTAAGTGCCACATTTCACATGCCACACTGAGTGTCATTTCATGTCAGTCCAATATAATTTTCAGTTTATGATGTTCAATACAGTAGAATATGAAGTTAGTAACCTATTTTTTGAGTTTTATACACTGATGATGGTAGAAAGTGTCAAGTACCCAGTAACTTGTAACTTTTGTCTTCTGCTTGGGAATGCTAGGAAGTGTCAATACTCAATGGCGTTGGACATGGAATAGGAAACTGGGTTTTATTAAATATTTTTCAACATACCAATATACCATTCCATGTTGATGCAAATTTGGCTATCTACTTCCAGTGATCTTTTTCCATAAATAGTGCATTCCAATGCATACTTGAATTTTCTGTGTTTTAATTCATCATTAACTTAACTATCATGCTTTATGTTGTTCACTTATATAAGGCACATTTAATGTATTCTTTTCCAGCTTGCCTTTTCTTTCTTTGTTTAATTTGTGTCTTTGAACAGACTGCTGAGGAGGCTATGACTCCTATTGAATCAACATTTTCTTTGGATGTTAATTCAAAATTGGACTGGTAAGTTTTCTTAATTTCTTGGTCATTATGCTTTAGCAGGTCAAAAATAGGTGATTGAATTTGTTTTGAAAATCACTTTTCTTTTTGATGATGAACTCATTTGTTTTCAATTTTTTGACTTTTTTGTTTTGAAAACAACTTCACTTTTTGATGCTGAATATTTCTTTTCCACTGCTCCAATTGCTAGAACATGCAGAAAATATTTCTCTAGTTATTTCCCACCAAACTAGTGAGACCTAACTTTGCTTGCATGTTGAGAGCAGAATTCTTGGTTAGAAGATGCAAAGCATATGTAAATAGTAGAATCATTCTTGTGCTTTTCCCCTCTTTCATTTTTTCCTTACAATCATTTTAATGTTGATAATCTTAAATCAGGGAAGCAATGGGAAAAATTCTTGCTCGCGGGCACAGCCGTGTTCCTGTGTATTCTGGAAATCCAAGGAATATTATTGGGCTTCTTCTGGTGTGTTTTTTTCCCCACATTTTGACTTTATATTTTCTCATTTTATTCTTTTTTAGGTTCTTTCTTCACATCATTTCTATTTAAATTAGGTCAAAAGTCTTCTTACTGTACGACCAGAGACAGAGACCCCTGTCAGTGCTGTATCCATTCGGAGAATTCCACGGTGCGCTTGTCTATTAATTTATTCTCATGTTTTTTTTTTCCTTTCAAACAAATTGTCAAATATCCAAAGTTTGTGTACGGGTTTTATATGTACAGGGTTCCATCGGATATGCCTCTCTATGATATACTAAATGAATTCCAAAAGGGCAGTAGTCATATGGCTGCTGTTGTTAAGGCTAAGGGAAAAGGCAAAGAAACTCCGCAAATCATTGATGAAGAGAAAAATGAAGAAAACAATAGTGTTGGTGGGGATTCACAGTTGACCACTCCGTTGCTACAGAAACAGGATGAGAAATCAGGAAGTGTTGTTGTTGACATTGTCAAGCCTTCAAAGCCTTCCAGCATTAATAAGCTGATGCAACGTAGTGATAGCACAACGAATGGTCCCTCTGCAGAAAATATTGAAGATGGTGAAGTGATTGGTATTATTACTTTGGAAGATGTATTTGAAGAACTTCTGCAAGTAAATTTCTGTTTTCTGAGACATACATACCCCCCTTGATTGTCCAGTGTTTTGTCTTTTTCCAACCCTTGTGACTGATTGTAATTGCTTCTTTGATACAGGAAGAAATTGTTGACGAGACAGATGAATATGTTGATGTTCATAAGAGGTAATAGAGAGTGCATACTTTCAAAATTTAGGTGGGATTGTAGCAGAGAAGCATGAAATTGCTACAAATCTGAATTTTGATGTACATAAATTTTATTTTGCAGAATACGTGTTGCTGCGGCTGCAGCTGCTTCCTCGGTGGCCAGAGCTCCATCAGCACGAAGATTGAGTAGCCAAAAGGGAGCAGTAAGTGTTTTATCATTACACAATTTTCGTGATTTTAATATTTGTTTCTTGTCTGCCGTAGTTGCTAATGAAATGAATCTCTTGAAAAAGGTTCTGAATATTCATGTTTCTCTGCTTGGTTTATTATCCTGTAATTCTCCATGATTTGCATGGCTATATACGTTCAGCAGCTCTGAACGGTAATCCAAACAAGCATTTAGTTGGAAATAGTGTTCTGACACTGTTTCAAAAAAATAAAATCAATAGGCTTAAATATGTTTTCATTAGTCCTCTAAAATATTTTAGTTGATTATGATTTTCATAATCTTTTTTATTTATTTTAAATTATCATTATCATCACTTATTGATGCCATGAGTCCATGACATGTATCTATCCATATCATGACTGTAACTGTTTTGAAGTAACGTGATATAACATGTTTAGAAGCGTGATATACCATCAATAAGTAAAGATAGAAACTATTTAAAAATTAAAAAAAAATTAATAATCATATTATTTGTACGAAGTATTTATGACTTCACTGTTGATTAATCTCTGCCGAAAAATTTAGCTAGCCATCTTTAAAAAAATTGAAATTTATGATAACCAAAGCCAACAAATAAATTTTTGGAGGACTAAAACTATATTTATTCATATTTACAAAGACTAAAAATGCTTTTTATCCGATTCAAACTCTGCCATTGAATGACCTGAACAAGTAATTGATTTGACTCTTCAGGAGATCTAATGGCTCCTGTAGAGCGATGTTTCCTATTCTGTATCACTTATGGTTATGGGAGTAGCATTAAATTGCAGATCTACCTCCCAACAACCCCTCTATTAAGTTTTAAGAATTTAAAATTAGTTTATTTTCATCAAGGGATATGAGAAGATTCATGGATATTTCAACAAGTTTCAAAATTCCTTAGGTTATGTTTGGATTCATGTTTGATATGGCTCAACTTGAGTTTATGTTTGGATTCATGTTTGACATGGCTCAACTCAAGTTTAGGACGGTTTGACATTGTGTAGAAAACATGATTCCAAGTTTTAGACCCAAGTCTCATTAAAGCTGTTAGAATTAATTTTTGCATCAACACTAACTTGAGTCATACTATTTGTTGCATGAATACCCTTAGTCATGTTAAAAAGAGACACTTCATGTTTTGTATTTTTATTTAAAAATAAAATAATATAATAAAGATAGAGAAAACATAGCAGTTGAAGAGCAGTAGTAGTAGTAGTTGGTTCTTAAAAAAGAGACACTTCGTGTTTTGTATTTTTATTTAAAAATAAAATAATATAATAAAGATAGAGAAAACATAGCAGTTGAAGAGTAGTAGTAGTAGTTGGTTCTTAAAAAAAATAGAAGAGTAAATGAAAAGTGGGTGAATTAAGGGTAGAAGCTTCTATAAATAAAATATAAAATGGAGACGAGAAGAAGTTGCAAAACATGTATAACCTTTATATACATCCTTGTTATACTCGAGTCATTTTTGGTAATTATACATCCAAAATCAATTTTGAAACAAGTTTCCAAACATTTTGTTAAAATCAATTTTTTAATATTTGTTATTCAAATAAAAATCGCATTACTATAATCTCACATTTAATTAAAATAAATTCTATAAAATCATGTTAATTCAAAATTAATTCTACAAACATATATCCAAACACGCACCTAACCAGAATGGTTTTGGGGTTCAAGAATGATTTTATATTTGTTGCCTAAAGTCTGTTGGCCAGTTACGGTATGTCCTGCTTGGATGCTGATCATGTTTTCCTTCTGGTCTAATTTATTTTCACCATCCAGGGAGGCCAAAATAAGCCAGGGCAAACTCCGAAGAAATCTGCAGAAGAAAATGGATTGAATTCTACGAAGCAATAAGTGAATTCGTGTTATACTCCCAGGAGAGTTCTTCAGTCATTTGATCCTATGATTTATCATATTAATAACTCTCCTTTCTTAAGGGCTCAAACGGATGTATTGCTATTTATTGTAGTAGAAATGTTGAAGGTTATTAAGCTAGTGCCGCTTGCATATCTGCTGCAATTTTATGTTCGATCTAAATTGTCTTTTCTGTTTTTAACGAAAAGGAAAGTGTGTTTGTTTTGAGTAGAAAACTGGTTAAAAATTTTAGTTGAATGTAGGACAAAATATCTGGCTTTGAGAAGAAAATTTGGATGACAAATTCCAAAATATTTAGAGTGTGTTGGTCTGAATGTGATGGATTTAGGAATTTTAAGTAAGAAGCGAGAATAATATTCTTATACAAATTTATAATAATAAATATATAATTTTATATATTTTAAAATAAAAATATATGTTTTAATTATTTTTTGAGATTTTATATTTTAAAAATATTAAATGATTTTCATATTTTTAAAATTATTTTTCTTCATATAAGTAACAAAGTAATTGTTTAACCATTTATTTCTTACATTAAAACTTTATCTTTTTTTAAAAAGTATAACATGACACATCTAAGTAAAAAGTATAATACGACACAAAATTACAATTACTTATTTTTTTAAAAAGGAATAAGTTAATAAGTACATTTTAATATATTTTAAAAATATTACAATTATAATTTGTTAATATGCTTTTTTTTTAAATATGTATGTTACAAAAAATTATATATATTTGATAATTTATATTCACTTATTTTTAAGAAAAATTAAATTAATAAATTACACTCGGATGTATTTTTTTTATAAAAAAAATATACTTCAAAAATAATATTTTTATTTTAATTTTTTTATAGCATAAAACATAAAAAGTAATGGAATACTTAGTTTTTAATATGATAAGTAGTGTATTTTATTATAATATATATATATAGAAAATAATGGCCATAAAAAATTTAGTGGGAGAATTTGCCCCCACTTGTACAAAAGTAGATCTGTCCCTGAGTTCTATTATGATAAAAAAAAAAAAACAATCAAACATGCGAGCATATCTTGATGTAGTTGTAATTTTAGTATCATATAAAGAAATAAATTGAATGAAAATAGGAAAGGTACATAGAAATATTTAAAAATAAAGGTGTTTGGTTTAACATGATCATGAAAAAATAAAGACAGAAACAAATAAGGTTATGAAAATATATATATAAAAAATAGAATAAAAATAACTGGTGAGTTTTATATCTTATCTATTTCTCTTCTTTTTATTTCACTTCTATCAAAGGTGTTTATTTTTTTATTTTACTTTTTTTTTTCTCTCCATCTTATTTTTTCTTCACCAAACTAAGGTTAATTTGGAATCATACTCTCACAATAGGTTCACATTTAATCGAAAGAAATAGAAATTCAAATAAGCTATAAGTACTTAATTCGAGTATTTTTTTTTCTTTTCCGTAAAAAGAAAAATAGTAAGTACATTTTCTTATTTTTTAAAAACAAAATACCTTATCCATATCTGATTTTTTTTTATAAAATTAGTTAAAGAGAAAATTAAGCACTTAAATTTTTTATAAAAGAAAATGAAATGAAGTATTTTTTTTTTAATTTAAAAAAAAAAATACTTTCACAAAAAATTCCCTCTTCTCTTTCTCTTGTTCTGTATCTCCTCTGCTCTGCTTATCTTCTGGTTCGTTGCCTTTTTCTTGAGTCATTTCTTTTAAATTAAACAAATCAGAAGTGTTAAATAAGTTATATTTTTTTAATTTTTATTTTGATATTTAATTTTAAAATGAATTTTAAGTATATAAAAAGTTGGGTTTGGACCGTTAAAGAAATAACTAACTTTGAAAATAGGCAAAAGAAGCAGAACTTGGCGCACCATTTTTCTTTCTTGCAGAACTTGGGGAGAGTAGTTATGAAGGGTGGTAGATATGATACAATACATGATATAATTTATATCTCAATTCAACATCTTAACTTTGTCTTCCTATTCGTGTTGTATCTTGTAACGATGTCAATATCTCTGATTTTTTTACTTTTCCCTCGAGTAAATAAATTCAGGAAACTTTTGCATTTTATATCAGAATTTCATATTGATCTAGTAAGAAATTGTTCTTTCTTCACTTGCATTTTAAAACTAATTTAATTCAAGATTAAATTTGTGAGGTAATGAAAACAGAAACACTTGAGAGAACTAAAATTTCGTTTGAAATCACAGCATTGGTACTTGATAATAATTATTTCACCAAGATGCTTCATGCTTAGTTTATACATTTCTCCACTAAGGAGAAATAAAGTTCCGAATTCTTTTTGACATGGCTAAGGAGAGTTTTTTTTTTTTTTTGTTGGAGAGAACGGGAGATATGAAAGTTATATAGCCCAAAAAAGAAAATAAGAAACTTTAAAACGGATGGAGATTACACGTACCACAAAGATAATTAAGAAATTTTGTTACACACGTGTTGACAATCATCTACTGATACTTGCATAAGTTTTACTTGCTAATGAATAGAAAACTAAGAATAGTATGCCTAGAGTGTGAAAGAAGAGTACAACAAAATTCAGTAACTATACAAGTTTATCAACAACTGAAACATTCAGGGTCCTCCACTTGGCCTATACAGGCAAAGTAACACTCCAGAACCACTTGGTGGAGCAAATCTTGTGGCAGAGACTATGTAATTGAAGCCTTGCAGCCACTCTGCGTGTACACAAAAACTCAATATATTTCCAAAACTATGTCCAAATCAAAATCTATCCTCACACCGCATAAGAAACACTGTGCACCTCCATATGATATAAAATCTAGTTTTCTGCTCCCTGAAGTGCCTTGAACACCGTTGCATCAACCCGGACTTTGGAGTTCTCATTGATAAGTATTGCCTTGCCATGGTCAAAACAAATGCCTAGAGAACAGACACAAGAGGTTCAGTTCAGTTCTCTGGAGCTAAATATAGCTCTATGATTTTGTAGCCCTTATAGAAGTAGAACCCGTTATTGGTATATATATGTGTGTGAAGTTGAGAGGGTTGTGTGAGAGCGCGTAGCAGGTGACATGGGTGGTCCCTGAAAAGAATTGAAGATGACAAAATTGTCACTGTCACATTGTCTCCCTGCTAAGCAAGAGCCAAGAGGGTCTTAACACAACTCATGGTCTCATCCTAATAGTAGTGGCCAACCCTGTCTCTTTGTATTATCTACCTTTTGTGAATGTGCACATTGTATATTCCCAAAGCAACCGCAATTGTGCCTGAATTTCAGGTTGTGTTGCATGGATTCTCCTTCATAGTTTCAATAATAATGAACCCAAGTATTTTACTTTGTCATAAAGTTAACCAATCAGGTAGTCCAGCTAGGATTTCAATTTCACCTTGTGACAGAGAACCCATCTTTAGCTTGTTTTAATTATCACCTCATATGTTGTACGATACTGGTGGAAAGTAACATGATGTCTTTCATCAACAGAATGTTGTCATTAATTAATCAGCTTTTTAACAGATCATGTAACATTGCGTGTACGGGGGGAAATGGAAAGTCATTTGTTTGTATTCAAGTAGATCATCAAACAACCAAAATAAGTAATTTATGTTCGAGATTCTAATCGTACATGTAAAAGCTTTAAGAAGGACATTGATCTCTATTCACTGTTAACAATCCAATCTAATTAGTATCATAAAATTAATTTCTACTGGAATGAGTATATATATAAAAAAAATTACATTAACTAGGTACTTTCGACAATATGTATATACTTTCTAAAAATAACAACAGACATAAAACAAAGCTGGCCTTAGGGGAGAGAGATTTTACATTACTCCAAAAAAATTCAACCCCAATATGTTTACTACACAATTTCATTAAATGCTAATGTATAAACTGTTAAAGCCAATTTAGCTAGATGATGACTCCTCAAAGCTGGTGGAGAATACCAAAAAAATGTGTTTGTGGGCTAAGCCTGAGAGTACTTATCCCAATTTAGAAGCATAGAGATACACACCCTCATAATATAAAACTTCCCTCTTTGTTGCCTCACCATTCTCCTCAACTTGGAAAATCTCCTACTCGTGTTTCCCATTTGGAAGCTCAAAATCAAATTGCAGTTGTTGAGCATGTAGTAGCTCCAATGTAGGCACAATTTATTGAAGATAAAATCCGACCTGGCACTGATTGGATCCACGTGTTAGATTTGCACGCGCTCATGTTAAGGCTCCACTTGTACTTGAACTTCACATCAAAGTCACGTGCCTTCTCTTTCCAAATTCAACTCAGGCTAAGTTTATAGTTAAATCATGCCGGCCATTAGTGATTGTCGCTTCCCTGAAAGCGATTAGCAAGTACAAAAACACCAGCCTTATCTTAAATAGTGTGCCTAAAGCTAACATCTTATCCTCTCAAACAGAAACTTTCTTTACCATCAAGCAGAGTTTAAATGAGAGACACAAGTGAAGGCATGAGCCTTGGGGATGAACCCAACAAAAAATAAACCAGAACTTCAACATCACCGCGCTCTTTTCTCCACTCCTACTTCCAAGACCTTGATTTGTTCTACTTAAAAAGGGTTCAGCATGTGATTTACAATCTTGTCAAATAATGTCTCACTATTTACAAAAAGGATTGGCACTCAAACGCTCCTACAGTCACACATCTTATCTTTAAGCATAAAGTGTCAAAGATAAGATCCTTAGCATGTATAACTAATCTTTGTGGACCTTTGGGATTAGTCTAAAGATATCCAGCTATAATGGGTCCTAGTAAAATTTGCAAGATCAAATTAGAGTCACATAGAGGCCAATGAGGGTGACACAGATGGGAGGCACTAGTGGAAGAAACTGAAACTGGGGACATGTTATTTCAAGTGTTGGAATTTTGGTCAGAAATGTGAGAAAAGAAAGTTCCAGGCTGGTGGGGAGTCCTACTGTGTTGTGTCTTTTAAAGAACAGTGATGGACAAAGCTAGGTGATCTGTGTAGTTCAGGATGTGACTAACTGAGACTACACAGGACCAGTGTGGCAACATTCCCTTCAGGGAAACATCAGAATGAATCTGTGTTTAATTATGTGTATGTCAGGAAATGCTTAGCTGATTGCTAATAAGAAATATGAGGTCCATTTGAAGCTGGAACAAGTAGAAGGTGACAAATCAGATCAATTGAATAATTTA